TTTAAAATTTAAAACCAAACACTCAATAATAAAATAGCAGCGTACATGTCTCCGTGTGTTTACCGTACTGTCTGTAGTACGGGTGCACTTCAAACAGCATCAGTCAGTGACTGAGAAAACATGTTTTATTATTAGATAAAGTATTCTGAGGTCCCCTATGCTAACTGAAGCTAACTGGCTAACAGCTTCTCAATATTAGAGAAGCTGAAATATTACGTACTGCAGCTTTAAAATGACGCTCTGATCTTACGTTCTTACGTAACGCGTGCGTCATCTGTTGCCACCGCGGGACGTTCTGCTGCGGAAGAGGAGGTGAGTGTTTTTCACCAGTGGAAATGAGGACAAAGATCCCGTTTTAAACCACAGGTCAGTCCGGTGTACCGAGCCCCGCTGTGGGGAGGTGGTCATCGTGAGGCCGCGGGGGTTTGAGCCGTTTACACCCGGGGAAGAGCGGTGAGCGCCCGGGCCCGTGAGATACGTGTCAACAGCTAACAGCGCTAGCTCCGTTAGCATCCGTTAGCCCGAGTTAGCTCCAGTTAGCTTCTGTTCGCACGTCATTTATAACTATTATTATTCATATGACACCAAGTACTCATTAATTCACCCGCTTTCTTCTCTTTTAAACCACGTCTTGATCTAAAACACCGGGATTTGGTTGTTTTTTATACATCGTAAATTTATCTGCGACGACTTAACTTTGTGGACACACTGGACCACACACACTGGACCACACACACTGGACCACACACACTGGACCACACACACTGGACCACACACACACTGGACCACACACACTGGACCACACACACTGGGACACACACACTGGACCACACACACTGGACCACACACACTGGACCACACACACACTGGACCACACACACTGGACCACACACACTGGACCACACACACTGGACACACACACACTGGACTACACACACACTGGACACACACACACTGGACCACACACACACTGGACCACACACACACTGGACCACACACACACTGGACCACACACACTGGACCCACACACACTGGACCACACACACACTGGACCACACACACACTGGACCACACACACTGGACCACACACACTGGACCACACACACACTGGACCACACACACACTGGACCACACACACACTGGACCACACACACACTGGACCACACACACTGGACCACACACACTGGACCACACACACACTGGACCACACACACACTGGACCACACACACACTGGACCCACACACACTGGACCACACACACTGGCCACACACACACTGGACCACACACACACTGGACCACACACACACTGGACCACACACACACTGGACCACACACACTGGACCACACACTGGACCACACACACTGGACACACACACACTGGACCACACACACTGGACCACACACACTGGACCACACACACTGGACCACACACACTGGACCACACACACACTGGACACACACACACTGGACCACACACACTGGACCACACACACTGGACCACACACACACTGGACCACACACACTGGACCACACACACTGGACCACACACACTGGACCACACACACTGGACCACACACACTGGACCCACACACACACTGGACCACTGGACACACACACTGGACCACACACACTGGACACACACACACTGGACCACACACACTGGACCACACACACACTGGACCACACACACACTGGACCACACACACTGGACCACACACACACTGGACACACACACACTGGACCCACACACACTGGACCACACACACTGGACCACACACACTGGACACACACACACTGGCACCACACCACACACTGGACCACACACACACTGGACCACACACACACTGGACCACACACACTGGACCACACACACTGGACCACACACACTGACACCACACTGGACCACACACACTGGACCACACACACTGGACCACACACACTGGACCACACACACTGGACCACACACACTGGACCACACACACTGGACAACCACTGGACCACACACACTGGACCACACACACACTGGACCACACACACTGGACCACACACACACTGGACCACACACACGGACCACACACACACTGGACCACACACACACTGGACCACACACACTGGACCACACACACTGGACACACACACACACTGGACCACACACACACTGGACCACACACACACTGGACCACACACACACTGGACCACACACACTGGACCACACACACTGGACCACACACACTGGACCAACACACACTGGACCACACACACTGGACCACACACACTGGACCACACACACTGGACCACACACACTGGACCACACACACTGGACCACACACACTGGACACACACACCTGGACACACACTGGACCACACACACACTGGACCACACACACACTGGACCACACACACACTGGACCACACACACACACTGGACCACACACACACTGGACCACACACACTGGACACTGGACCACACACACTGGACCACACACACTGGACCACACACACTGGACCACACACACTGGACCACACACACTGGACCACACACACTGGACCACACACACTGGACCACACACACACTGGACCACACACACACTGGACCACACACACACTGGACCACACACACACTGGACCACACACACACTGGACCACACACACACTGGACCACACACACACTGGACCACACACACTGGACCACACACACTGGACCACACACACTGGACCACACACACACTGGACCACACACACTGGACCCACACACACTGGACCCACACACACTGGACCCACACACACTGGACCCACACACACTGGACCACACACACTGGCCCACACACACTGGACCACACACACTGGACCACACACACTGGACCACACACACTGGACCACACACACTGGACCACACACACTGGACCACACACACTGGCCTACACACACTGGACCACACACACTGGCCTACACACACTGGACCACACACACTGGACTACACACACTGGCCTACACACACTGGACCACACACACTGGACCACACACACTGGCCTACACACACTGGACCACACACACTGGACCACACACACTGGACCACACACACTGGACTACACACACTGGACAACACACACTGGACCACACACACTGGACCAGGGCCGGAGTGGGACAACATTTCAGGCCGGGAGCTTTTCATCCATTCAGGCCAAACAAGGTTCTAAATTTGGGTTTTTGTCATTGTATTTTGATGTTCTTTTAATAGTTTTAAGATTGACTGTCAAAACTTTTGTTTTCTTTATTTCTTTTTATATTGACTGTTTATATAATCTCGGACGTTTAAAGATTGTTGTACGTTGCTTAGCAACGTAACGTTTATGGAGTCTAGTGAGAATAAAGACACACACACACACACACACAATGAACTAAGTGTTCATTAGTGTATAACTATAACAAGCTAATCAATTATTGTTAAAAAAGTAGTAAGGTAAAATCACATCGTTACAGCTCATATAAAAGGAAAAATAACAACGTGTATGAACCATCAGTTGGAGAGACCACTCATTTCAACCGGGGAAGCTACACTGGGTGCACTGCTAGGCTGGGGAAGCTACACTGGGTGCACTGCTAGGCTGGGGAATCTACACTGGGTGCACTGCTAGGCTGGGGAAGCTACACTGGGTGCACTGCTAGGCTGGGGAAGCTACACTGGGTGCACTGCTAGGCTGGGGAATCTACACTGGGTGCACTGCTAGGCTGGGGAAGCTACACTGGGTGCACTGCTAGGCTGGGGAAGCTACACTGGGTGCACTGCTAGGCTGGGGAATCTACACTGGGTGCACTGCTGGCTGGGGAAGCTACACTGGGTGCACTGCTAGGCTGGGGGAAGCTACACTGGGTGCACTGCTAGGCTGGGGAAGCTACACTGGGTGCACTGCTAGGCTGGGGAAGCTACACGGGGTGCACTGCTAGGCTGGGGAAGCTACACTGGGTGCACTGCTAGGCTGGGGAAGCTACACTGGGTGCACTGCTAGGCTGGGGAAGCTACACTGGGTGCACTGCTAGGCTGGGGAAGCTACACTGGGTGCACTGCTAGGCTGGGGAATCTACACTGGGTGCACTGCTAGGCTGGGGAAGCTACACTGGGTGCACTGCTAGGCTGGGGAAGCTACACTGGGTGCACTGCTAGGCTGGGGAAGCTACACTGGGTGCACTGCTAGGCTGGGGAAGCTACACTGGGTGCACTGCTAGGCTGGCCTGGCTGTGTAGCCGACGTGTGACGTCACATTTGTTTAATTTTGCTCTGGCCCAATGACAGTAAAGCTTTGGCCAGTGTTGTGCCAGTTCACAGCTTTTCTGAACTAGTTCAAGTTCAGTTCATACATGCTCAAAGTGAACAGTTCACGTTCGAAGTTCTCAATTTTAATTCTGAACTAGTTCAAAGTTCAGTTCATTTTACTTTTTGCGAGATATTCAAATAAATATTTTTTTTCACTACGAGCTAGAAATCACAATACGTGGTATATATATATATATATATATATATATATATATATGTATATATATTATATCCTGTACACTGCACAGGATGTTTTGACTCCAATGCAGACAAGATTGACATGGGTTTCAATGGGAACTGAGTTGTCCCATCTCTGCTCATAAGTACAAACTGTAATGCGCTGCAGTGCGTGTGTCTATACTTTATGTCAAATGTAAACGGCCCTGTGTCACTGACTTACCCCTGTGTTTTCATCACGGCACATGTGAGTCCAACAACCAATGAATAGCACTAGCATACAGCGCCGCACCGCAAGTACACTGAGTCGGGGTGCGTTCACAGACGGTGGAAACCGTAGGAATTTTTAGTTTTCGGCGGAAACAGTGCGGAGAATACAGGAGGGAGGAACTTTCTCTCGTTGCGTTTCAAAAGAGAAAACAGATTTCACTCAGTTTTAAATGGAAAACAAATTGTCTGCCGTTCATGACACATAATATGAACTAATTCACGTTCAAGTTCTTTATTAAAAAATGTGTTGCGTTCAGTTCAACGTTCACGAAAAAATGAGCGTGTTCAATGAACGCGTTCTTTTGAACTCGTTCACGCACAACACTGGCTTTGGCCTGGGCCTTGCTCATTGGACCAGGCCACCAGGCAGGGTAGGAGTTTGCAAAGACCGTGAGGATGAAATTAAATTAAAAGAAAGAAGAAAAAAAAAAAAAGAAAAAAAGACCGTGATGATAGGGCAGGCCCAGGCCACTTTGACACGCAGGCCACCGGGAGATCTCCCGATGCTCCCGATGGCCAGTCCGGGCCTGCACTGGACCACACACACTGGACCACACACACATTTGATGGAGTGTGTGTGTTGTCCTGTGCGTGTGGTCCTGTGTAGGTCATATGGTTTGTGTGTGTCCTCAGATGATGGTGTGTGTGTATGTCCTCAGATGAGGGAGTGTGTGTGTCAGATGATGGGGTGTGTGTGTTGTCCTGTGTGTGTGTGTGTGTGTGTGTATGTCCTCAGATGAGGGAGTGTGTGTCCACAGAGGATAGTGTGTGTCAGATGATGGGGTGTGTGTCCTCAGATTATGGAGTGTGTGTGTGTCCTCAGATGATGGTGTGTGTGTGTGTCCTCAGGTGGTTGTGTTTGTGTGTGTGTGTGTCCTCAGATGAGGGAGTGTGTGTCCACAGAGGATAGTGTGTCTCAGATGATGGGGTGTGTGTCCTCAGATTATGGAGTGTGTGTGTGTCCTCAGATGATGGAGTGTGTGTGTGTCCTCAGATTATGGAGTGTGTGTGTGTGTCCTCAGATGATGGGGTGTGTGTGTGTGTCCTCAGATGATGGGGTGTGTGTGTGTGTCCTCAGATGATGGAGTGTGTGTGTGTCCTCAGATTATGGAGTGTGTGTGTGTGTCCTCAGATGATGGAGTGTGTGTATGAGAAGTTCCTGTCCCCAGAAGACCCGTGTCCCCTGCTCTCACAGAGGACAAACCTCAGCGATGTGGGGACTCTGTACGGGAGCGACTTTGGCTTCCAGCTGTCATCCTGTCACCGCACAGACCCACTGCACCGGCTACACAACAGGTATACACACAACGCGTCGATCTTACTTCAAGCAGCAATAAAATAAAATTGAACCAAAAATGTTTGTACCTAATTTTTTAATATCATGTAGTTTGTAGATGTACAAAGATAATCTCAGCTGGGCAGCTCACAACCATGTCTCTCTGTGGTCTTTCTGGTCCCTCTCTCTGGTCTCTGGTCTCAGATGGAACCTGACGTCGTGTGGTACCAGCGTGGCGTCCTCAGACTGCAGTGAGGAGTTGTTATCGTCAGTGTCTGTGGGGGACCAGGAGGACTGCTTCTCTCTTTTGGACGATCAGGATCTGACCCTGGACCTGTTTCCTGAGGGCAGTGTGTGCAGTGATGTGTCCTCCTCCATCTCCACCTACTGGGACTGGTCCGACAGCGAGTTCGAATGGCAGGTACGGCCGTGTCAGAGAGTGGCAGATACGGCCGTGTCAGAGAGTGGCAGGTACGGCCGTGTCAGGGAGTGGCAGGTACGGCCGTGTCAGAGAGTGGCAGGTACGGCCGTGTCAGGGAGTGGCAGGTACGGCCGTGTCAGGGAGTGGCAGGTACGGCCGTGTCAGGGAGTGGCAGGTACGGCCGTGTCAGAGAGTGGCAGGTACGGCCGGTCAGGGTAGTGGCAGGTACGGCCGTGTCAGGGAGTGGCAGGTACGGCCGTGTCAGGGAGTGGCAGGTACGGCCGTGTCAGGGAGTGGCAGGTACGGCCGTGTCAGGGAGTGGCAGGTACGGCCGTGTCAGGGAGTGGCAGGTACGGCCGTGTCAGGGAGTGGCAGGTACGGCCGTGTCAGGGAGTGGCAGGTACGGCCGTGTCAGGGAGTGGCAGGTACGGCCGTGTCAGGGAGTGGCAGGTACGGCCGTGTCAGGGAGTGGCAGGTACGGCCGTGTCAGGGAGTGGCAGGTACGGCCGTGTCAGGGAGTGGCAGGTACGGCCGTGTCAGGGAGTGGCAGGTACGGCCGTGTCAGGGAGTGGCAGGTACGGCCGTGTCAGGGAGTGGCAGGTACGGCCGTGTCAGGGAGTGGCAGGTACGGCCGTGTCAGGGAGTGGCAGGTACGGCCGTGTCAGGGAGTGGCAGGTACGGCCGTGTCAGGGAGTGGCAGGTACGGCCGTGTCAGGGAGTGGCAGGTACGGCCGTGTCAGGGAGTGGCAGGTACGGCCGTGTCAGGGAGTGGCAGGTACGGCCGTGTCAGGGAGTGGCAGGTACGGCCGTGTCAGAATCTGGCTCTTTGGGCTGAGTGGTCTTTGATTTGTGACATCACAAATACATGAAACTAGAGACATGGGTTTACTACAGACTTCTATTGGTCTGAGAGTCACAGACCCCAGCTTTAGAGTCACAGACCCCAGCTTTAGAGTCACAGACCCCAGCTTTAGAGTCACAGACCCAGCTTTAGAGTCACAGACCCCAGCTTTAGAGTCACAGACCCCAGCTTTAGAGTCACAGACCCCAGCTTTAGAGTCACAGACCCCAGCTTTAAAGTCACAGACCCCAGCTTTAGAGTCACAGACCCAGCTTTAGAGTCACAGACCCAGCTTTAAAGTCACAGACCCCAGCTTTAAAGTCACAGACCCAGCTTTAGAGTCACAGACCCAGCTTTAAAGTCACAGACCCAGCTTTAGAGTCACAGACCCAGCTTTAGAGTCACAGACCCAGCTTTAAAGTCACAGACCCCAGCTTTAAAGTCACAGACCCCAGCTTTAGAGTCACAGACCCCAGCTTTAAAGTCACAGACCCCAGCTTTAGAGTCACAGACCCCAGCTTTAGAGTCACAGACCCAGCTTTAGAGTCACAGACCCAGCTTTAAAGTCACAGACCCCAGCTTTAAAGTCACAGACCCAGCTTTAGAGTCACAGACCCCAGCTTTAAAGTCACAGACCCAGCTCTAAAGTCACAGACCCCAGCTTTAAAGTCACAGACCCCAGCTCTAAAGTCACAGACCCCAGCTTTAAAGTCACAGACCCAGCTTTAAAGTCACAGACCCCAGCTTTAGAGTCACAGACCCCAGCTTTAGAGTCACAGACCCCAGCTTTAAAGTCACAGACCCAGCTTTAAAGTCACAGACCCCAGCTTTAGAGTCACAGACCCCAGCTTTAAAGTCACAGACCCCAGCTTTAGAGTCACAGACCCCAGCTTTAGAGTCACAGACCCCAGCTTTAGAATCACAGACCCAGCTTTAAAGTCACAGACCCCAGCTTTAGAGTCACAGACCCCAGCTTTAAAGTCACAGACCCCAGCTTTATCATATCATCAGAGCTAAAATGCCTGAGGTGTTTGGTCCTGGTTCATCAGAGCTAAAATGCCTGAGGTGTTTGGTCCTGGTTCATCAGAGCCAAAATGCCTGAGGTGTTTGGTCCTGGTTCATCAGAGCCAAAATGCCTGAGGTGTTTGGTCCTGGTTCATCAGAGCCAAAATGCCTGAGGTGTTTGGTCCTGGTTCATCAGAGCCAAAATGCCTGTCTCTTCAGCTTCCTGGCAGTGACGTGGCCAGTGGCAGTGACGTCCTCTCTGACATCATTCCCAGCGTTCCCAGTTCTCCTTGTCTCTTCACCAAACGCAAACCCAAGAGTCAGACGCACCGCAACCTGGACGAGCTTCCTTGGAGCGCCATGAGCAACGACGAGCAGGTGACCTGTCTCCATAGACCTGCACTGGTGTTTAACTCCATCCTCGCTAGCATCAGGAACTTCTGACGCAAACATGTAGCTCTGCTGTATGAGCTTAAAGGGCCCATATCAGGGTTTTTGACTTTTCTCTGCTTTAAACATGATTACAATGCTATTTGGCCTCATACACAATGTCAATCTTTTGTAAGAACAATCTGTCTCCTTCCTCAGCGTGAGGCACAGAAACGCTCGGGTCCACTTCAGTGACAAAAACCACACTGATGACGCGCATGACCCTGTTTGCTTTGTATTTAAAATAGTTGTTAAATACTTTTGTCAAAACGGGGTAAACAATACACAATTAGTATGCTGTTTGTTTTCACAAATAATAAAAATAAAAATAAATGAAAAGCCGGCGGGAGGTGATTGACGGATCAAAACAGCGAATCAGAGCGCAGGCTCCGGCTCCAGAGTCCAGCGTCTGTGGTCTGGTCTCGCGGACACCACATAGAGCTGCTGTTTTTATGCTTTTGTCAGAAACTAAAAGTGTTAGGATCACGTCAACTTGAATGAAGTGTGTTATGGGTGTAAATATGTGACACACTATTTGGCCCTAAGAGGAAGAAAGCGGCTCGATCGGCAGGCTCACAGGCAGAGGAGCAGACTCTGGATCAGTTCGTTTGAGTCGAGGTGACGTCACCTCTATACAAGAGATGGCTCTAATCTCACAAGCTTTGATTGTTGTGTATCACACACATTAATATCACACATGTGATTGTTGTGTGGTGTATCACACACATTAATATCACACATGTGATTGTTGTGTGGTGTATCACACACATTAATATCACACATGTGATTGTTGTGTATCATACACATTAATATCACACATGTGATTGTTGTGTGGTGTATCACACACATTAATATCACACATGTGATTGTTGTGTGGTGTATCACACACATTAATATCACACATGTGATTGTTGTGTATCATACACATTAATATCACACATGTGATTGTTGTGTGGTGTATCACACACATTAATATCACACATGTGATTGTTGTGTGGTGTATCACACACATTAATATCACACATGTGATTGTTGTGTATCATACACATTAATATCACACATGTGATTGTTGTGTGGTGTATCACACACATTAATATCACACATGTGATTGTTGTGTGGTGTATCACACACATTAATATCACACATGTGATTGTTGTGTATCATACACATTAATATCACACATGTGATTGTTGTGTGGTGTATCATACACATTAATATCACACATGTGATTGTTGTGTGGTGTATCATACACATTAATATCACACATGTGATTGTTGTGTGGTGTATCATACACATTAATATCACACATGTGATTGTTGTGTGGTGTATCATACACATTAATATCACACATGTGATTGTTGTGTATCATACACATTAATATCACACATGTGATTGTTGTGTGGTGTATCACACACATTAATATCACACATGTGATTGTTGTGTGGTGTATCACACACATTAATATCACACATGTGATTGTTGTGTATCATACACATTAATATCACACATGTGATTGTTGTGTGGTGTATCACACACATTAATATCACACATGTGATTGTTGTGTGGTGTATCACACACATTAATATCACACATGTGATTGTTGTGTGGTGTATCATACACATTAATATCACACATGTGATTGTTGTGTGGTGTATCACACACATTAATATCACACATGTGATTGTTGTGTGGTGTATCATACACATTAATATCACACATGTGATTGTTGTGTGGTGTATCACACACATTAATATCACACATGTGATTGTTGTGTGGTGTATCATACACATTAATATCACACATGTGATTGTTGTGTGGTGTATCATACACATTAATATCACACATGTGATTGTTGTGTGGTGTATCATACACATTAATATCACACATGTGATTGTTGTGTGGTGTATCACACACATTAATATCACACATGTGATTGTTGTGTGGTGTATCATACACATTAATATCACACATGTGATTGTTGTGTGGTGTATCATACACATTAATATCACACATGTGATTGTTGTGTGGTGTATCACACACATTAATATCACACATGTGATTGTTGTGTGGTGTATCATACACATTAATATCACACATGTGATTGTTGTGTGGTGTATCACACACATTAATATCACACATGTGATTGTTGTGTATCATACACATTAATATCACACATGTGATTGTTGTGTATCATACACATTAATATCACACATGTGATTGTTGTGTGGTGTATCATACACATTAATATCACACATGTGCAGAGGACTGAGTGTGAAACATGAAGACAAGCCTGATATAGGACCTTTAATGCTCATACATTAGTTTCAGTCATTTCTGTGGAATTATGCTGTTTACAATATGTCTGTGTAGCTCTCTCTCCGGTCTCTCTCTCTGTGGTCTCTCTCTCCCTGGTCTCTCTCCCTGGTCTCTCTCCCTGGTCTCTCTCCCTCTGGTCTCTCTCCCTGGTCTCTCTCTCTCTGGTCTCTCTCTCTGGTCTCTCTCTCTGGTCTCTCTCTCTGGTCTCTCTCTCTGGTGTCTCTCTCTCTGGTCTCTCTCTCTCTGGTCTCTCTCTCTCTGGTCTCTCTCTCTCTGGTCTCTCTCTCTCTGGTCTCTCTCTCTCTGGTCTGTCTCTCTCTGGTCTGTCTCTGGTCTCTCTCTGTGGTCTCTCTGTGGTCTCTCTGTGGTCTCTCTGTGGTCTCTCTCTCTGGTCTCTCTCTCTGGTCTCTCTCTCTGGTCTCTCTCTGGTCTCTCTCTCTGGTCTCTCTCTGGTCTCTCTCTGGGCTCTCTCTGGTCTCTCTCTCTGGTCTCTCTCTCTGGTCTCTCTCTCTGGTCTCTCTCTCTGGTCTCTCTCTCTGGTCTCTCCTCTGGTCTCTCTCTCCCTGCTCTCTCTCTGGTCTCTCTCTCTCTGGTCTCTCTGGTCTCTCTCTCTGGTCTCTCTCTGGTCTCTCTCTCTGGCCTCTCTCTCTCTGGTCTCTCTCTCTCTGGTCTCTCTCTCTGGTCTCTCTCTCTGGTCTCTCTCTCTGGTCTCTCTCTCTGGTCTCTCTCTCTGGTCTCTCTCTCTCTGGTCTCTCTCTCTCTGGTCTCTCTCTCTCTGGTCTCTCTCTCCCTGGTCTCTCTCTCTGGTCTCTCTCTCTGGTCTCTCTCTCTGGTCTCTCTCTCTGGTCTCTCTCTGGTCTCTCTCTCTCTCTCTCTCTGGTCTCTCTCTGGGCTCTCTCTGGGCTCTCTCCCTGGTCTCTCTCTCTGGTCTCTCTCTCTCTGGTCTCTCTCTCTCTGGTCTCTCTCTCTCTGGTGTCTCTCTCTCTGGTGTCTCTCTCTCTGGTGTCTCTCTCTCTGGTGTCTCTCTCTCTGGTGTCTCTCTCTCTGGTGTCTCTCTCTGGTCTCTCTGGGCTCTCTCTGTGGTCTCTCTCTCTGGTCTCTCTCTCTGGTCTCTCTCCCTGGTCTCTCCCTGGTCTCTCTCTGGTGTCTCTCTCTCTGGTGTCTCTCTCTGGTCTCTCTGGGCTCTCTCTGTGGTCTCTCTCTCTGGTCTCTCTCTCTGGGCTCTCTCTGTGGTCTCTCTCTCCCTGGTCTCTCTCTCTCTGGTCTCTCTCTCTGGTCTCTCTCTCTGGTCTCTCTCTCTGGGCTCTCTCTGTGGTCTCTCTCTCTGGTCTCTCTCTCTGGGCTCTCTCTGTGGTCTCTCTCTCTGGTCTCTCTCTCTGGGCTCTCTCTGTGGTCTCTCTCTCTGGTCTCTCTCTCTGGGCTCTCTCTGTGGTCTCTCTCCCTGGTCTCTCTCTCTCTGGTCTCTCTCTCTCTGGTCTCTCTCTCCCTGGTCTCTCTCTCTCTGGTCTGTCTCTCTGGTCTCTGTCCTCATGGTGTCTCTGTACCAGGTGGAGTACATAGAGTACCTGAGTCGTAAGGTGAGCACAGAGATGGGTCTGAGGGAGCAGTTGGACATCATCAAGATCATTGACCCCAGCGCTCACATCTCCCCCACAGACAGTGAGTTCATCATCGAACTCAACTGTCTGACTGACGACAAGCTCAAGCAGGTGAGGGTCCAGGGGAGGGTCCAGGGGAGGGTCCAGGGGAGGGGCCAGGGGAGGGGCCAGGGGAGGGGCCAGGGGAGGGGCCAGGGGAGGGGTGTGGTGTGTGTGTTGTAGGTGCGTAGCTACATCAGAGTGTGTGTTATAGGTGTGTGTGTGTGTGGTGTTCTTGTGTTTCATGAACCTGGCCAGTAGGGGGCGCATGAGCAGAGGTGGGACAGTGTTGCTCCCTTTGAAAACCATGTAAAGTCTGTTTTGGAGTCAAAGGCTCTCCTCCTGTGCGGTGTACAGTTGTTGGAACAGTCTTAATCGGGGACACACTATTCTAAGGGAGTATAAAAAAAAAATTCTCAAGAGTCTTGATTTATTTATTCTGTTTTTGAAAAACAGAATAAATTTCTGCGTTTCATTGGGGTGGCCTGCAGGGGGCGCTTTTCTGGGAAAGCCTAGACCCACCTCGCCAGCCTCATTCCAGTGATTCTTTTCAAAGTGTTCTCCTTTTATAGGAGGGTCTTTGTTTACACCGGCGTGCGCCCCTCGCACAGGTGGCAAGAAGGCAGAGCGCCGCATACCAAAGCATGGATTTGAGAGTACTTTTAAAAGACTCAGTGGGCAAATAGCACTATATAAAGGCACTTTAAGGCAAGAATATCAGAGGAGATATAAACACAAGCTAAAAATAAGTATATGAGACCGAACTGAACAAATCCAAAGCCCATATGAGACCTGGGATGAGGAGTAAAAACACCCATCTGCTGGGACTGGGACTCGGAGACATTTATTCTTACTTCATAGAAAACCCAGTGTTCTGTGTTGTCGATGCACTGCCTCAGCTGTTAATGATGCAGTGTAGTTCCACAGGAGTCAATATGACTGCTATCACACAGCAGCTGTGTAGTTCCACAGGAGTCAATATGACTGCTATCACACAGCAGCTGTGTAGTTCCACAGGAGTCAATATGACTGCTATCACACAGCAGCTGTGTAGTTCCACAGGAGTCAATATGACTGCTATCACACAGCAGCTGTGTAGTTCCACAGGAGTCAATATGACTGCTATCACACAGCAGCTGTGTAGTTCCACAGGAGTCAATATGACTGCTATCACACAGCAGCTGTGTAGTTCCACAGGAGTCAATATGACTGCTATCACACAGCAGCTGTGTAGTTCCACAGGAGTCAATATGACTGCTATCACACAGCAGCTGTGTAGTTCCACAGGAGTCAATATGACTGCTATCACACAGCAGCTGTGTAGTTCCACAGGAGTCAGACTACATGTCCACCGTCTCACCGTGGTAAAGTGGCATTTCACTGTTACGGTAAACCACATTAAAAGCGGGCTGCCTCTTTTTGCTGTTACTTACGGTAAAGGTGGAACAGGAAGCCGTGGGGATGAGTAAACAAACCCCCCCCCGGCTTCCCGTTCTAAGTTTACCGTAGGTAACAGGATAAAAGGGCAACCACTTTACCGCTGCCGTTTTTCGCTGTTCTTTTCCGAAAGAATTAGAAGAAAACCGTTATCTGTCCCCAGCGGGCCGTACAACCGACCACACAACAGGAACGGACCATTGATTTAGTAAAACCTCTCCAAACGTCCAAAACTAGCTCTCTATCATCCAGGTAGCTTTCAATGCTATAGTGCCACACGGCCACGTGACCGGCACGGAAAAACTATAAACACCTCCTCTATGAGACCACAGTTAGAACTATAAACACCTCCTATATGAGACCACAGTTAGAACTATAAACACCTCCTATATGAGACCACAGTTAGAACTAAACACCTCCTATATGAGACCACAGTTAGAACTATAAACACCTCCTATATGAGACCACAGTTAGAACTATAAACACCTCCTATATGAGACCACAGTTAGAACTATAAACACCTCCTATATGAGACCACAGTTAGAACTATAAACACCTCCTATATGAGACCACAGTTAGAACTATAAACAACTCCTATATGAGACCACAGTTAGAACTATAAACACCTCCTATATGAGACCACAGTTAGAACTATAAACACCTCCTATATGAGACCACAGTTAGAACTATAAACACCTCCTATATGAGACCACAGTTAGAACTATAAACACCTCCTATATGAGACCACAGTTAGAACTATAAACACCTCCAATATGAGACCACAGTTAGAACTATAAACACCTCCTATATGAGACCACAGTTAGAACTATAAACACCTCCTATATGAGACCACAGTTAGAACTATAAACACCTCCAATATGAGACCACAGTTAGAACTATAAACACCTCCTCTATGAGACCACAGTTAGAACTATAAACACCTCCTCTATGAGACCACAGTTAGAACTATAAACACCTCCTATATGAGACCACAGTTAGAACATGAGGAAACTCTTGTCATTCTCTCTTTGTGCGGTTGCTACAAGCGTACACCGCTCAAAAATATGGCATTTTGACAGCGCTTCTTCTACTATATCTCTGTGTATAAACCACTTCTTCTTCTACTATATCTCTGTGTATAAACCACTTCTTCTTCTACTATATCTCTGTGTATAAACCACTTCTTCTTCTACTATATCTCTGTGTATAAACCACTTCTTCTTCTACTATATCTCCGTGTATAAACCACTTCTTCTACTATATCTCAGTGTTTCTGTGTGGTAGGTGTGTGTGTGTGTGTAGTAGGTGTGTGTGTGTAGTAGGTGTGTTATGTTGTGTGTGTTGTGTTGTAGGTGCGTAGCTACATCAGGGAGCACAGACACAGAAGCAGAGAGAGCTTCAAAAGGAGCAGCCACAGTTCACACAGCAGCAACGGAAGCATCACCAGCACCACCAGCTCCTCCACCGGCTCTGCTGCCTCTATCACAGGTATCACAGGTACACACACAGGTACACCAGCTCCTCCACCGGCTCTGCTGCCTCTATCACAGGTATCACAGGTACACACACAGGTACACCAGCTCCTCCACCGGCTCTGCTGCCTCTATCACAGGTATCACAGGTACACACACAGGTACACCAGCTCCTCCACCGGCTCTGCTGCCTCTATCACAGGTATCACAGGTACACACACAGGTACACCAGCTCCTCCACCGGCTCTGCTGCCTGTATCACAGGTACACCAGCTCCTCCACCGGCTCTGCTGCCTCTATCACAGGTATCACAGGTACACACACAGGTACACCAGCTCCTCCACCGGCTCTGCTGCCTCTATCACAGGTACACCAGCTCCTCCACCGGCTCTGCTGCCTCTATCACATGTATCACAGGTACACACACAGGTACACCAGCTCCTCCACCGGCTCTGCTGCCTCTATCACAGGTACACCAGCTCCTCCACCGGCTCTGCTGCCTCTATCACAGGTACACCAGCTCCTCCACCGGCTCTGCTGCCTCTATCACAGGTATCACAGGTACACACACAGGTACACCAGCTCCTCCACCGGCTCTGCTGCCTCTATCACAGGTATCACAGGTACACACACAGGTACATCAGCTCCTCCACCGGCTCTGCTGCCTCTATCACAGGTACACACACAGGTACACCAGCTCCTCCACCGGCTCTGCTGCCTCTATCACAGGTACACCAGCTCCTCCACCGGCTCTGCTGCCTATCACAGGTACACCAGCTCCTCCACCGGCTCTGCTGCCTCTATCACAGGTATCACAGGTACACACACAGGTACACCAGCTCTGCTGCCTCTATCACAGGTACACCAGCTCCTCCACCGGCTCTGCTGCCTGTATCACAGGTACACACACAGGTACACCAGCTCCTCCACCGGCTCTGCTGCCTCTATCACAGGTATCACAGGTACACACACAGGTACACCAGCTCCTCCACCGGCTCTGCTGCCTCTATCACAGGTATCACAGGTACACACACAGGTACACCAGCTCCTCCACCGGCGCTCCTCCACCGGCTCTGCTGCCTCTATCACAGGTACACCAGCTCCTCCACCGGCTCTGCTGCCTCTATCACAGGTACACACACAGGTACACCAGCTCCTCCACCGGCTCTGCTGCCTCTATCACAGGTATCACAGGTACACACACAGGTACACCAGCTCCTCCACAGGCTCTGCTGCCTCTATCACAGGTACACACACAGGTACACCAGCTCCTCCACCGGCTCTGCTGCCTCTATCACAGGTACACACACAGGTACACCAGCTCTGCTGCCTCTATCACAGGTACACCAGCTCCTCCACCGGCTCTGCTGCCTGTATCACAGGTACACACACAGGTACACCAGCTCTGCTGCCTCTATCACAGGTACACCAGCTCCTCCACCGGCTCTGCTGCCTCTATCACAGGTATCACAGGTACACACACAGGTACACCAGCTCCTCCACCGGCTCTGCTGCCTCTATCACAGGTATCACAGGTACACACACAGGTACACCAGCTCCTCCACCGGCTCTGCTGCCTGTATCACAGGTACACCAGCTCCTCCACCGGCTCTGCTGCCTCTATCACAGGTACACCAGCTCCTCCACCGGCTCTGCTGCCTCTATCACAGGTATCACAGGTACACCAGCTCCTCCACCGGCTCTGCTGCCTCTATCACAGGTACACCAGCTCCTCCACCGGCTCTGCTGCCTCTATCACAGGTATCACAGGTACACACACAGGTACACCAGCTCCTCCACCGGCTCTGCTGCCTCTATCACAGGTATCACAGGTACACACACAGGTACACCAGCTCCTCCACCGGCTCTGCTGCCTCTATCACAGGTATCACAGGTACACACACAGGTACACCAGCTCCTCCACCGGCGTCTCTGCCTCTATCACAGGTATCACAGGTACACACACAGGTACACCAGCTCCTCCACCGGCTCTGCTGCCTCTATCACAGGTACACACACAGGTACACACACAGGTACACCAGCTCCTCCACCGGCTCTGCTGCCTCTATCACAGGTATCACAGGTACACACACAGGTACACCAGCTCCTCCACAGGCTCTGCTGCCTCTATCACAGGTATCACAGGTACACACACAGGCTCTGCTGCCTCTATCACAGGTACACACACAGGCTCTGCTGCCTCTATCACAGGTACACACACAGGTACACCAGCTCCTCCACAGGCTCTGCTGCCTCCATCAGAGGTACACAGGTACACTGGTACACAGGTACAGTCTAACTTGGCGTGTTGTGCAGGCCCCGCCTCTGTCGGCAGCAGCAGCAGTGTGGCTAACATCAGCAGAGCTCACAGTGATGGGAACCTGTCCAGTGCAGCAGAGCGGATCCGGGACTCAAAGGTCAGAGGTCACCTTTATATGTTGGTTTTGGAGATCCACCATGACCATATAAGGACTGACCAATCAGATGCCTTCACTTCTACGTCACAACTACATCACAACTACGTCACAACTAGGTCACAACTAGGTCACAACTAGGTCACAACTAGGTCACAACTACGTCACTACTAGGTCACTACTAGGTCACTACTAGGTCAGTACTAGGTCAGTACTAGGTCAGTACTAGGTCAGTACTAGGTCAGTACTAGGTCAGTACTAGGTCAGTACTAGGTCAGTACTAGGTCACTACTGGTTCACTACTGGTTCACTACTAGGTCACTACTAGGTCACTACTAGGTCACTACTAGGTCACTACTAGGTCACTACTAGGTCACTACTAGGTCACTACTGGTTCACTACTAGGTCACTACTAGGTCACTACTAGGTCACTACTAGGTCAGTACTAGGTCAGTACTAGGTCAGTACTAGGTCACTACTAGTTCACTACTACTGTCTAAGAGAAGCTAAATAAATCAGTAAAGCAATAAATAACTATCAATACATTTAAATGTTAATCAGAGAATACGTTACACACATGTCACACACTGTGGTGATGTCACACACTGCGGTGACGTCACACACTGCGGTGACGTCACACACTGCGGTGACGTCACACACTGCGGTGATGTCACACACTGTGGTGATGTCACACACTGCGGTGACGTCACACACTGTGGTGACGTCACACACTGCGGTGATGTCACACACTGTGGTGATGTCACACACTGTGGTGACGTCACACACTGTGGTGATGTCACACACTGTGGTGATGTCACACACTGTGGTGATGTCACTCTACAGAAGCGGTCGAAGCAGAGGAAGCTGCAGCAGAAAGCGTTCAGGAAGCGACAGCTGAAGGAGCAGCGACAGATGAGGAAGGAGCAGCTCAGTGGACTCTTCCTCAACGAGGAGGTGCTGTCGCTACGGGCAACAGAGGACGACCACAGCGATGACCTGGACATCATGTGACCAACGTGAAGCTGTCAGTGCTCCTGAGTCTGGGTCTGAGGCGGTGGTAGTGGGAGCACTGAAGTGTAGATCCCTGTAAACAGTGAGACTTTGATCTCTTTGGTTAAATAATAAATGTAAATAACAAATAAATACTTACACATGTCATAGAAAGGTTCCTAAGTTTGTCTTGTTGTTCATGGAACCTCCAGAGTCCAGTTTATATATATATATATATATATATATATATATATATATATATATATATATATATAAAAAATGTTGCATAATTCAAATTTGTCCAGGAAGGAAGACCAGACCAAAATGTTAAAGTTCATTCAAACATTTATTTAGTTACAATAACTGTACATAAGGTCTGTCCTTGTGCTCTGTATATATGGACACATGGACACACACACACACGTGCACACGCACGAGCACACGGACACACACATGCACATGGACACACGCACAGAGACAAAGCTCTTGTTGTTCATGTGCAGTGTGTTTGTGGTACTTCCACAGGCTCATTGGAACCCACAGGGGAAATTCCTGGGTTGCCCTGTTGAATTTAGTCTGCAGTAGTAGTGGTGGTCCTCTCTGTGTGGGGTTTGCATGTTCTCTCCGTGTCTGCCTAGGTTTCCTCCACAGAAAGTGCAGACCATGTTCATCCTTTGTTGTTTGAATCCATTGCCGCAAGACAATCTCACTCTAAATATCACATCTGTGTAGGATCTTAAATCCTCTCTGAACCCCACGGCTCGGGTCGACCTGAGGCCCTGAACCCCACGGCTCGGGTCGACCTGAGGGCCCCGAACCCCACGGCTCGGGTCGACCTGAGGGCCCGAACCCGACGGCTCGGGTCGACCTGAGGGCCCTGAACCCCACGGCTCGGGTCGACCTGAGGGCCCGAACCCCACGGCTCGGGTCGACCTGAGGGCCCTGAACCCCACGGCTCGGGTCGACCTGAGGGCCCCGAACCCCACGGCTCGGGTCGACCTGAGGGCCCGAACCCCACGGCTCGGGTCGACCTGAGGGCCCGAACCCCACGGCTCGGGTCGACCTGAGGGCCCGAACCCCACGGCTCGGGTCGACCTGAGGGCCCTGAACCCCACGGCTCGGGTCGACCTGAGGGCCCTGAACCCCACGGCTCGGGTCGACCTGAGGGCCCTGAACCCCACGGCTCGGGTCGACCTGAGGGCCCGAAACCCCACGGCTCGGGTCGACCTGAGGGCCCTGAACCCACGGCTGGTCCCTGAGGCCGAACCCCACGGCTCGGGTCGACCTGAGGGCCCGAACCCCACGGCTCGGGTCGACCTGAGGGCCCGAACCCCACGGCTCGGGTCGACCTGAGGGCCCGAACCCCACGGCTCGGGTCGACCTGAGGGCCCGAACCCACGGCTCGGGTCGACCTGAGGGCCCGAACCCCACGCTCGGGTCGACCTGAGGGCCCGAACCCCACGGCTCGGGTCGACCTGAGGGCCCTGAACCCCACGGCTCGGGTCGACCTGAGGGCCCTGAACCCCACGGCTCGGGTCGACCTGAGGGCCCCGAACCCCACGGCTCGGGTCGACCTGAGGGCCCCGAACCCCACTTTGTGAAGCTACAGGTGAACTCTGGAGTAAACACAGTCCGTCTGAGCCGCTTAGAGCTGCTCCGGACCCTGAGGAGACATCTGTTACTGTCATAAAAGCCTGCTCAGATTAGAGAAAGAACTACCCTGGTCCATACCATAGTACGCATTTCATTTCATACTAAGGTCTGGATTGGGAGGGGGTAACTCCTTTTGCAGATTGAAACCATTGGATCTGAGTTTACTGTGACGTATGTAATGGGCCTGAGTGAGTCGTTAGCATTTAGCATTTAGTCTAGCTTTAGCATGTAGCCTAGCTTTAGCATTTAGCCTAGCTTTAGCATTTAGCCTAGCTTTAGCATTTAGCCTAGCTTTAGCATGTAGCCTAGCTTTAGCATTAGCCTAGCTTTAGACATCTCCTTTGCCGCTAACGGAGCCCGTGGGGAGTAGAGCCACAACATCTTTGCTTCAATGACATTTACTAAACATTCCTCTTGGATTGAACCAGAACAGATTATTTTACTATCACAGTCTCCATGGTCCAGAGTTTACACATGGTAAGACCAGAGTTTACACATGGTAAGACCAGAGTTTACACATGGTAAGACCAGACGTACATGTAGGAAATGATCATGGACCAGAGTTTACACATGGTAAGACCAGACGTACATGTAGGAGATGACCATGGACCAGAGTTTACACATGGTAATACCAGACGTACATGTAGGAGATGATCATGGACCAGAGTTTACACATGGTAAGACCAGACGTACATGTAGGAGATGATCATGGACCAGAGTTTACACATGGTAAGACCAGACGTACATGTAGGAAATGATCATGGACCAGAGTTTACACATGGTAAGACCAGACGTACATGTAGGAAATGACCATGGACCAGAGTTTACACATGGTAAGACCAGACGTACATGTAGGAGATGATCATGGACCAGAGTTTACACATGGTAAGACCAGACGTACATGTAGGAAATGACCATGGACCAGAGTTTACACATGGTAAGACCAGACGTACATGTAGGAAATGATCATGGACCAGAGTTTACACATGGTAAGACCAGACGTACATGTAGGAGATGATCATGGACCAGAGTTTACACATGGTAAGACCAGACGTACATGTAGGAAATGATCATGGACCAGAGTTTACACATGGTAAGACCAGACGTACATGTAGGAAATGATCATGGACCAGAGTTTACACATGGTAAGACCAGACGTACATGTAGGAAATGATCATGGACCAGAGTTTACACATGGTAAGACCAGACGTACACATGTAGGAAATGATCAAGGACCAGAGTTTACACATGGTAAGACCAGACGTACATGTAGGAAATGATCATGGACCAGAGTTTACACATGGTAAGACCAGACGTACATGTAGGAGATGATCATGGACCAGAGTTTACACATGGTAAGACCAGACGTACATGTAGGAGATGACCATGGACCAGAGTTTACACATGGTAATACCAGACGTACATGTGGGAAATGATCATGGACCAGAGTTTACACATGGTAAGACCAGACGTACATGTAGGAGATGATCATGGACCAGAGTTTACACATGGTAAGACCAGAGTTTACACATGGTAAGACCAGACGTACATGTAGGAGATGATCATGGACCAGAGTTTACACATGGTAAGACCAGAGTTTACACATGGTAAGACCAGACGTACATGTAGGAGATGATCATGGACCAGAGTTTACACATGGTAAGACCAGACGTACATGTAGGAAATGATCATGGACCAGAGTTTACACATGGTACGACCAGACGTACATGTAGGAAATGACCATGGACCAGAGTTTACACATGGTAAGACCAGACGTACATGTAGGAAATTATCATGGTCTAAACACATGTACCATCAATTATTGAATATAGAATTTCAGATTCAGTTTATTTGCCATTTGCAGTAAAACAACCACATTGGAATACATTAGCAAAAGTCTCCAGTGTGCACAGACAAATACAGACAATAAAAGACAGAAATAAAACAAATAAAACAGTAAACAAATGTCACTGTGAAATGGATCGACTAAAACAGTTTCAAAACAAGTGCAAATCATTAAAGTGCTCTGTTCACACTGATAACAGCCTGTGGATAAAAACTGTTAGCGTAACGAGATGTCCTGCATCTCAGAGAACGATATCTTCTGCCAGAGGGAAGAAGCTGGAACATGGCTTTCCCAGGGTGGCCAGAAGAGTCATTAACAATCCTAAGAGCTTTGTTTAAAAGTGTGGATTTATAAAGAACCTCCAGAACAGGAAGCTCACAGCCCACGGTCCTCTTTGCAGAGCGGAGCACCTTGTTTAAAGCTCTCTTTTCTTTATCTGTGATGTTTCCAAACCACACAGACACAGAACCAACAAGTAAACTCTCAATGGTGCAGCCATAAAGGTTAAGCACAATCTTAGAGTTAGTGGTAAATTCTCTAAGTTTATGCAGAAAGTAGAGACGCTGACGAGCTTTCTTAACGACTCGGTCAGTGTTTTTAACCCATTTCAGGTTAGACAGAGTTAAACCCAGAAACTTGCTCCTCTACGATCTGCACCTGGGAGTTGTCGATTACGACAGACAAATGAGAACTATTGCGACTGAAGTCGTGACCAGTTCACATGTTTTGGATGCGTTCAACTGGAGGTTGTTAGTTTGACTCCACTGAACCACATTTTGTATCTCTGCTCTATAAGAGGATTCATCAGTGTCACTGATGAGACCGATGATGGTGGTGTCATCAGCATATTTAATGATCAAGTTTGAGTCAGAGGAGGACACACAATCGTGAGTGTACAAAGTAAAAAGCAAAGGACTCAAAATACATCCCTGAGGAGAACCAGTGCTCACAGAAACAACATCAGAAAAACACTCATTGATTTTCACTCTCTGAGATCTGTCAGTTAGAAAGATAAAAATCCATTTACACATGGCAACACTGTGTGTGTGTGTCTGTGTGTGTGTGTCTGTGTGTCTGTGTGTGTGTGTCTGTGTGCACTTGTTTTCAACTCCTGGTGGGTTCCATAACCTGAGATTCCACTCACGTCATGGGGACTGGTTTTACGTGGTGGGGCCCGAACACCGGACCCCACTGGTCCAAGCTTAATAATCAATGGGTAATGCTTTTCTAACGGTCCTTATGCAGTCTCTGTAAAAATATGGAAAGGACCCCTGGAGGTTTACTTTCCTGAAAAAAGTGTGTTATGTGTCGGAACCCTGGTGGTGGGTTGCGGGATATCAAGGAGGGGCACACTGGGGCAATTTCAGTCCAGCAGGCTGGAAGCCAATCATGGAGCAGCACAACAGAGGAAATCAGGTGTCAGGCTAGAAAAAGGTGCAAGTGTGTGGTTCATTAGGCTGCAAGAAATCATGGAGGAGCACACTGAAGCGCACGCTTACAAACCACTGGTAAGTGCTGACTACAAGTCATGACTTCAAATTGTTATATAGAATGATTACAAATTATTTGTTGTTTGTGCAGCTTAGTCAAGAGTCCCTAATTGATGAAGTCGACTCAGATTCTGACGATTTAACTGTCAAGAAGAAACCTGTAAAAAAGTATGGAAAAAGAAAAATCAAAAACACTTTTCTTCAAGACTCGGAAAGTGACGAACCAAAGGCAAATAAGATTGTTATCATGCAGCTGCAAAAGAAGAAAAATGGGGGGCGAGTTTACAGCAAGAGACACTTCTGCCTCTACTGTTCAATGTCCTGCCACAAAATGTCCCGTCATTTGACTAGAAAACATGGAAATGAAAGTGACGTAGCCAGAGCATTGGCTCTACCTGTGAAATCTAAAGCACGTAAACTTCAGTTTGATTTGATCAGGAATAGTGGAAACCGTGAGCACAATTTTGAGGTTTTAAAGGCCGGCATTGGAACTTTAGTCCCAGCTAAACAGCCAAATTCCCCAGTTAAATCCAGTGAGTTTTTGCACTGTATAGACTGTGGGGCATTGCTTAAGCGAAAGTCGCTGTGGAGGCATGTGGCCAGGTGCCGGCTTTCACAGAAAGATGCCCAGGCTAAACCAGGTAGAAGTAGGGTCCAGTCCCTCTGCTCCCTAGCCCAGCCTGTACCGGAGGGCATCAGCAAAAAGCTGTGGTCTTTAATTTCGGCAATGCATCAGGGAGAGGTCACGGGTGTTGTCAAAGCAGAAAAGGGGATTCTGAGACTCGGAGAGCACCTGTACTTAAAACACGGGCATGATAAGACAAAGCATGATTACATTAGGCAGAAAATGAGAGAAGTCGGTAGGTTAATTAACGAAGCAAAAACCGCAGGGAAACTGAAAACAATTAAGGATTTCTTTATTCCTTCCAACTTTAACCATGTGATTGATGCAGTCAGGTCTGTGGCTGGATATGATGAGGAAACAAATCAATACAAGACTCCATCCTTGGCCC